TAGACAATTACAACAAGAATTATGTCACTGGGGGCAGGTTACAGTTGGTAACTTGTTTAAATTATGTTAAAAATATCTGTAACTGTTTCAGACATTTCTTGTGCAAGTATGAAAATCTGTCCATTTAATTTGACATGTTAAGTAAATTATCAAGTTTGTTGTGAAAAGTTTTATTTCATAAAATTGTCCATTAACATTATACCTATTGATTAATGAACAATTTTATGAAATAAAACTTTTCATAACAAACTTGATAATTGAAAAAATGCATGCCCCATTCCTTAAAGTCACACATACATATTCTCTTATAGTTCTCAATTATCTTCATCATGTTTATTATGGCGGTTTTTGACAGAATATTACCAACAGTATCAATTTATTATAATATTCTTGTGCTCTATATCAATGTAATAAAAATGGTCAATACCAGCCTTGTGACTATGTGTATCATTACATTTTGAACCCTGAGTGACAATTTACACCATCGATTTATCCAGCTTGTGACACTCATGTATCTACAAGTTATATATATTAGACAAGTACATAGGATTGACATAGTTCACAAAAACAGCATCATCACAGCTTGTACATACATTTTCTCATCTGAGACAAGTACAGGTCTTTCAAAATCCGAGTACTGGTGTACCAGATATAAAAATACAGGTAGCAAGCCACATGTGTGTTCTTACACACGTCACAACAGGTGTAAATAAATCCTGTTATCACAGCCATGCACAATTCTCCATACAGGAAGAAAATGACAATGTGATACATCAAAATCATTTGATATTTGTTGTGAAATCGAAGAAGATATTTAGCTGGTTTTGTATACCGTATCTAGCAAGATCAATCAATTATCACTTTTATTATAATCAGTCAGACATCTGTTGTTATTATTGTATGTGAAGTTTTCCCAACCATGCATGGCAAGGCTGCATGCAGCATTAATGAGGCAACGATCTTCATGCATGGCTTGCATTGCTATTTCATCAATCATGTTTGTATTTGTGTTTAGAGTAATATTAGGTGCCATTCCTAATAATATCAAGGCGTAGTTCTGAAAACATTAAATTTAACATAATATTGGTAGGGATTTCAACCTTTTTATCATTAAACAACCCCAGGTGAATTTTTTGAGAATTAAGAATCAGAAGAGACACTCAAAAAATTATGCTAGCATATATATTGATAGAATTTTTGTCACTTCCTGTCAAGCAGCTGTGAGATTGAGATACAAATGCAGACAGTAATCATACATTGTAATAGTTAAATGGGATGTTTCAGGATTTCTCAATGAGAAAAATGGATATATTGATCATTATGAGAGAAAGTACAAACTAAAATTTAATTATTCTAATGACGTTCATGTATCCATCATCAATAATGTATTACATTACCAGTATGAATTGCCTGACAGTTAATCAATGACTTTACAAGAAACTTATTATCTATCGTGTATTGATAGAATAGCAATCTTGAGCAACATTTCAAGACTTAACTATTCTTATGTATAACTTGTTGACAGACCTGAGGAAAATCAATGAAGTATGAACCACACTTTACAGTTCAACATTAATTAATAACTGTATTTATGGAGAAAACAAACCTTCTGTCCAAATCTATAGCCACTAGGAACCAAATATTTATAATTACAAGACTCTGAGCTACATGCCTCTTTTCTGATAAACCAACTCGTCATCTCAACCATTGATAAAATTGCTGTTACAAATTTTGAGAGAATACATCTATCTCATATCTATGTTTACAACATATCAATACCCACCAAATATTTTATGTTCATCCATTTCAACTATTTATACAATAAAGGAATGGCTAAACTTCTATCATTTTCAAGTCAGCTATAATATATATGTAATGTGAATGGGCTATAAAATCAGCTGTATATACCTGCTAACAAAAAAGTATAATTCAAACTGCTGATAAATATCATACAGATTTCACAGGTCATTGGGCACACACCACATATACACATTAATCTATTTATAGCTGCTCTTTCCCTCACTAACAATAGTGTCATGCCTTGTTTTCTTTTCAGTCATGAAGTAGAACTGTCTATGTAATTATAAATCTGTGCATGCCACTGAATTCTTTTCATTAAACAGATCATGTATAAGAACTAGATTGTAGGCATACTGTATATGCAAGATAAGAATAGAACACTTAACACTCTTCATGACTGAGAGTAATTGTGCAATATATTATTATACAAGGCAAAAAAGTGGACCCATTCACATCCTGTTTTTTTCCTTATGATCAATTTGGATATTACCAGGTAAGATGGATCTGCATCGCTAACACTTTCCCAAGCATATTAGCAGATTCGAATGAAAAGTTTTAAAGCTAGCATCCTAACATGCTTAAACTGGACAAACCACAACTTCATAATTGAAGAAATAACACACTTGGCATCTGTTGCCTTGAAACTGGTCATATCATTACTCTGAAACTTCTTGGTTCTTGAAAGGAACTTAAAGAAGATTTTAAATTATTTGACAATTATAACTTCTGATCTGTATGCAAGTTTTCGTTTCAGCAGATTTGAAAATTTCCATCTCATGCATCATGCTACTGGTTAAATATCATGACCCTCGGCCTTTCGGGTTACCCAGAAGAAGTTGTTTGGTGATTTTAACATACTTAGACCTGTCAACCTTCGAAATGAGTCAATGGCATCTATTTTAACAAACTTGGATTACCTTCACCCTTACGTAAATACAGCATTTGTTTTCCTCACAAGAAGTAATTTCCAGAAAAATTATCCATCAAGTTTGTTGAGGAATTGTTATGTGCTACAAAACAAATTTGACATATATGGGCAATAACTCTCAAACTAATGTCAAACAACATCAATGGTTAACAGTTCTGGTACACACTAATATCACAAAGTTAACAACTGGGTTTTTACTGATGCAATGTCATGAAAACATGGTCTGTATGTATGTATATGTACACTTGATAATATAGAAACTCCCTTAGCTTATAAGGAATATCAACATTCCTTAAAGAAGAATTACATTTAAATGAATTGTAATTAATGTGAGTTAAGGGTGACTGTCCAGCCAAGGGTCAAAGATAACTCTCTTTCATTCATTTAACTGGGTCAAGTTTATCTAACCAATGTTGCAACATACACATAATATAATCAGTTTAAGTGACATTTTTAACTTCACATGTACAGTCTTATTTATCACAATATAAACATTTTTAGCATTGAAAAGATGTACAATGCAACCTATAACTTACATTAAAAAAAAAACAAGTTACTGATTAAAGAACCCTCAACATATAAGCTATAAAAGGAATATATAATACTGTAAAACCTATTTCCATTCCATCTTATTGGTAACAGTTCCCTTGATCCCTTCTGCTGGTCCAATCATTCTCTAAATAATATACACACTTGCTTGACTACTTTCTACACCTTAAAAAAACATGATCAAATCAGGTTATTTATAAAGTCAAACACAGTACAAACATTCTACATAATGAACCTAGACTTTTCTTATATATACATGAATGTTACTCAATACCAAATGTAGGTCAAGCACATATGAGACAATTAATTAATTTTGCTGCAGATGACAAGTGATGCTACATTCATGTGTTAGGTGTATGGGAGATAAGATGGTTCTCTGGATGTATGTGTTCGGATGGGATTGCATAACCCCTAATGTCAAAATGAATGTATGTGGGCCTGTGGGATGATGGTCATACATACTGATTGTGATTCCTGATGCACTGCATATCTGGGGTTAATAAGCGACATATAATTTAAATATACATTTCCATATCTGATGATCAGTGGTATTTATTGAATTTGAGGACTAAAAAGACATGTTGAGAAAATTTTCAATGAGAAACATAACATCTGGGAGTGCAGGTCACTATAGGGTGTAAAAATATATGCGTACGAATATCATTTAGAATTGGCATGAATCACACTTGCATTTCTGCGTGAATGGGGACACTTGGGAGGGTAGAGTTATGGTGGTGGATTCCCTGATATAGAACATGTTTGAGGATCATCATGGATGAACATGATATTGTACATATGAGAGAAACAGGTGACATAAGTGTGGGTTGGTGGGTGATCCTTGATGATATGTGTACCTGGAGTGATTATGGGTGATCTCTGGTGTGTATGAGAATGGGATGATGATGTTTAATTTTCTGATGTATGTAAGGTGGTGATGGATGATCCCTTGAAGTCTGAGTAATGTGGTAAGGGTTAGATAATATACTAAAATCTCTAATACAGATCTGACATAATCAACAGGCATTACAATTTCATTGATCTGACAACTTAATGCTATCCAACACAGCAACTGGCTTGTCAATTAAATCAAATTCCTTTAACCAGAATCTATTCAGTATTCTTTGTAAGAGTTTTTTTTAGTGGTGAGTCCTGAACACCATTTTCTTATGAATCCAGTTACAAAAACATTTAGTGGTGTCTCCAAATATAAGCAAGTCCCACAGGAAAGGCAAGTGTCCCAAAAATCACTACTATTACTACCAACTACCAGAAACATTACATTAATCTTAAAACGACTTTAAGCTCAGGTTGGTTCAAACAGAAATGACATCCTGGTGTCTTATTTGCTGTTAACATCATGCTCAACAAAAAGGTCACAAGACCCTCGTCTGTCAGACAACCCAGGCACTTTTAATGAGGTCTAGAAAGGTATGACACTCAACCGCCAGGAGACCAATCGATTAAATCATAGAAATCATGTCCAGTTAATTGTCATTATCCTTTCTGGTCAAATAATACGTTTCCAAACGCAATGAGATTCCGACATCGGTTTCATGTTCGGGAATCTTACGAGCAGGCGAGAATTGATTTTTTTGCTCGCAGCTTCTAGGAATTCGCGTACCAAAATGGAAGATCCGTACAAAAAACGATCAAACATAACGTATATACAAAAGACATATTAAGTGTGTATTCACTTAGGGTGTTAATTTTACAAAAGACTTACTCATTCAGTCGTGACCAGACTTAGAAAACGCAGAAAAATTCGGGTTGTGCCACCATATTATCCACCATAAACTAAATGATCACGTGATCTTTGACGTAACATCTACACAAACATTGCTGGTAAAGGGAACGGTTTTCTTGTTGTTAAATATCTTTCCACGTTGTATACACATCAAATATATGCTATCTACTTGGTGTTACATTATTATTTACAAATTTAAACGAGACAAATGTTACGATTAGCCGAAAGCTTCGTCGCGGGTGAGTTGAACGTTTTGATATCCTGTAAATTCAAAGCTTCTGATCAACGCCGACAAATACATACAGCACATGTTAAACATGGCTGACACAGGGAAGGTCCGTAACGTGATCGCAGATGCTGGAGCATTCATCCGAAATGCTCCTCTCCAGGTAAATCAACGTGGTCTTACTTGGAGTGCTAGGCTAAGGACACTTTGAATGAATGATCTAATATAGATACGAATCTGAGATTTGAGTTGTATAGCTTTACGAATTCCGGGATGTCAAAACCTTGACGGATCCGGAGAAATGTTATTTGAAGCTACAATCCGGACACCCTTTTTCCGTCCAGATATCTCCTGGGCTGATGACATGCATTTGTCCGGAATGTTACATAATATCTGGTGTATACGTAGGGCAAAGGAATCTTTGTTCATGGACTATTTCTGATAATACCATCCCTTATTCCTATTGCACAATAAAACTGAAAGAGAATTTCAGACCCATTTAAGGGGTTAGGCGATTTACAGGATCACACAAAATCGTTGAAAAATTGTGCCGTTTTAATAGTGTTTATACATTTATTTTGTCGGTATATGGTCAAATTTCAAACATAAACTAGAAAAAGAAATAAAAATCATATATATTTGGGTCTCGAAAGCCCGAAAAGACCATCATTTCTTCACTATCAAAAGTTTTGTCTTTACACGATGTTGAAATTCCATGAAATGGTAACCAAATATTCCCGATTTCACTAATAATGCTACTCACTGTTTTATTTTTAACTATTTTGACAGAAGGGCAAATTGGAGAAAGTTACACCGAGGTGAATTTTCCTTGTGTATGGTATCACTCATTTTGATTTAAAAAGAAAACCGTGTTATCACATTTTCTCATTAAACATTTTTCTAATATTGATGATAGTATTTTTAGTTAAAGTTAGCATTCATGAAATCTCTCTTCCCTGTTTCAGAGTATCGGAGAGAAGATCTATTCACTACCAGAAGTTGTGAAGGAGATCCGTGACAAAGCCACATTGCAGCGACTACAAGTGTTACCCTACCAGCTCCAATTCAGACAGCCTTCCCCAGAGTCTATCAGAATAGGTAAGAATTTCACAGGTACCACTTCATTACATCACTTATGATTGATTTTAAGAAATGGAATTTTGAAACAAATACTTTATATGGAATTTTCATAGAGTTGGCAGAATTTATTTTCCTGCCTTCAAAATTTTTATGTCCCTGACATTTTATGGTCAATGGCATATAGCATTACCTTTGTCATTCTTTCATGATTTCATTTCCACTCATTCACTCTTTAGCAGATAGAGCTCTGTAATTTAGTATTAAGTAGTGTAAGAATGATATGCAGATAAAGTTATCAGTTTAGTTATGGCAAATAATTTTTCCCCAGAGTTATGGCCATTTATTATTGAATCAAAATTTTCATAAAAACAAAAGGACCGATATTGGAAAGCCTTCCTTAACTCCAACTTAACTCCAATGGGAATTTAGGAAGAAAAAATAAATTGCCAAAGCTGCAGTTTAAATTCAGATTCTCGCAACTGATTTTACAGGAAGAGCTTAGCCTTATGTGAAAGACAATTACACTAAAAAAGTTTCAAACTTATCTTGGTTGCTGATAGAAGCATTCGTGCTGCTCTGACACATTAGTTTGATACATATTCTTTATGGTATGGTTGTAATCATTTTTGGCTGCTATGTTACTGATGTAAGTGTAGTAATTATAATCAAAATGATCGAGGGAAAACCCATAAGCATACCTATGAAATCTATACATATGTTTATTACTAAGCACATTTACCAAATTCTAGCTGAATCAAAAACAGGGAATCTACAATTGACTATTACATTGTTAGGTAAACGGTTGCTAAATATTTAATTTAATTACAAAATGAAATATTTCATACAACCATGATTGAATGTTATCTAGATATTTCAATGCCATATATGAATGACAAATACATTCACCAATTTGGTAGACAAGAGACCCAAAGGTAACGGTCATAATTTATTTTAATCCACTGGTAAAAAATGTTAACTATAGGAATCTAATGATTTAGAAACAAATTTGTGTTTTTTTTTTTTATAATTTTTTATTTTTCAAAGATTTTTCAAAACATAAATGTTTCACTTGCAGCCTTTCAAAGCCACACATGCCCTCACACACCAATACACAGACACGCCATACAATTTAAGGGCCTAACATCATTTTCACTCTAAATTGTATATAACATATCATTATCATTCGCAAAGAATTACATGTATCAAATAAGCACCAATCCTCATCATCATCATCAAACATCAATCATCATAATCATCATCATCAAACATCCAGACTATTAACCAACAGAAAATATAGGTGGCTACGGAATTTGGCCCAGCCCATACCTTCTATGGGATGAGTACACACACACACACTCACACACCCTCTCTCACACGTATATACACACACATCCTCACAAGATCATACACACATTACATATGACAGATGGGAAAGGGTGAGGCGGAGGGGAAGGAAAGAAGGGGCAATGGATTGAAGAGGGAGAAGAGAGAAAGAAACAAGCTGGAGGGCTTTATCAGATACTGTCTATTTTAACATTTACAGTTAATATATAGGTCAAAATGAGGAAAATGAAATAATGGTTGAAATTGTGGTGATGTCAAGGTCAATGGAGAAAGTAGCTCAAGATATAATTTATAAGTCCAAAACAGGTTTCCATTTTTTCCAGTTGTTTTCAAAATTCCTTTTTATGTGACAATTTTTAGAGGAAACAATATATTTTTGTACTCGGAAGTGATCTTTTATTGTATTTATGAGACCATTTAAACTTAGAGTTTTGTGCAGACATCTTGTCTTGTATATATATTGTTTAATAATAATCAAAATTTCATTATCTACTACATTAGCCGTAGGAGAAAGAATACCAAAGAGATAAGTTTCTTTGTTCATCCAAAATGGAATAAAGAAAAGGTTGATTAACGATTCAAATCTCTCTAACAGTGTCTGCACCTCGACACACTCCCACAAACAGTGTATAATTGTCTCCCTTTCCATATTACACAAATTACACAAAGGACTAGGACTTAAATTAATTTTGAAAAGAAAAGAATTTGTGACCAATATACGATGAATAATTCTTGCTTGGAACCACTGAAGTTTTGAGTTTTTAGTGATAGTAAATGGGATTCTTAGAATATTTTTCCTCTTCTGTTCATCAAAATCAAACTCTATCCCCCATTTTTGAATTCCAGTTGGTATTGGTGGTCGTTTAATTAAACAAATATAAAAATCCTTTGAACCTTTTTTACTTTTGAAAAATATTTCATAAAAAAGTGGTATGAAAGGTTGTTGAATCTGTACAACCTGAAGTGTATTCTTCCGTAGAAATTTCTTCATAGATGTAATTAGACCAAAGTACTGCAGATAGTTGGCGTTGATTGTTGGGAAAAGATTACCAAACTCATTAAAAGAATAAAATGTCATGTCTTCATAATTCTTTACAAGGTCATTTATGGTATGTATACCTGCATTAAACCATCTTGGATAAAAAACACATTTATTCCCCACCTGAATGTCTTTATTATACCACAAAGGACTTTTTAAGACAGATGTGATATAACATTGTCTAAAAAGTTCCGAGTTAGTAAGTTTAATCATACTTTTAAATACATCTTTCCAGAATGGATTTCTACAATTTAGGCAACAAGAATTAACATATTCTATCCCACAATTTAACATTTTTTTCTCATCTATAATAGAATTCAATAATATTTTCCATTTCCCTGATGAGTGAAATATTCTTCTGATCCAGCCAAGTTTGAGAGAATCTATGAAAGCTACAATATCTATCATTTTTAATCCCCCGTCTATGTAGTTCTGAATGACCACGTCTTTTTTTATCTTGTGTTGTTTGCCATTCCAGAGGAAATCAAATAAAATAGAGCTCAATTTACCAAGAAAACTGTTGGAAGGATTTGGTAGGGTAATAAATAAATAATTGAACTGGGAAATTAATAAAGATTTTATTATACTGATTCTACCTAAAGGAGTAAGCCTTCGTCTTTCCCACACATTAATAAGAGCCTTTAATTTAACAAGTTTCTTATCGTAATTCATTCCAGGAATTTCACTAAGGTTAACACAAAAATCAATTCCCAAAAAAGTAAACTTATTCTTACCCCAAATTAGATTTAACTCTGGAAGAAAAGCTTCCTCACTATATTTCTTACTTCCTATCCAAATAACCTGTGTCTTACTGGTGTTGATATTTAACCCTGATATCTTAGCAAAAGTATTCAGCTCATTAATAGATTCTTTTAGTGATTTTTCAGTTCCATCCAGAATCAGACCTGTATCATCAGCATATTGCACATTTAAAATAGACACATTATTAATTTGTATACCCTGGATATTTTCATTATTTCTAATTCTTGCAGCTAGAACTTCAACACTTAGTATAAAAATATATGGGGCAACTGGGTCGCCTTGACGACAGCCACGCTGAATGTTAATTGGTCTAGAAATGTTACCCCCCTGATTAACCACTGAATAAACATTAGTATGCAGAATTTTTACCCACTTCCTAATATCCACTCCAAAGTTAAAGTAACGAAGAACATTATCAATAAAATCCCAAGAAACTGAGTCAAAAGCTTTTTCAAAGTCGACCATTAGTAACATTCCTGGAATATTCAAATCTTCTGCATAACGCATTACATCATAAATAGTACGGATGTTTTCCCCAATATAACGCCCAGATAAGAATCCCGTCTGATCTTCATGAATAAGTTTTCCTAAAACTGATTTTAACCTATATGAAATTACTCCAGATGCTATTTTATATGTAATGTTCAAGAGAGAGATTGGTCTCCAATTTTTTAAAAAATGACGGGGCTTATCTCCCTTAGGTAAGCAAGTTATAACACCTTGTCTCTGAGTAATTGAGAGAAGGCCCACTGAAAAACTATAATTAATCGAACGAATCACAAAAATACCTATGAAATTCCAAAAAGTTTTAAAAAATTCTGAAGTAAAGCCATCTGAACCCGGACTCTTATTGTTTTTCATATCTTTCAATACCTTTCCTGCCTCCTCAAATGTTATAATACCTTCTAAATTATTGGACTCAGCATCAGTTAACTTAGGGACACTGCAGTCATGGAGATGATGATCCAAATCAATTGGGGTAACTTCTTTATGTTTGTATAAGTTTTCGTAAAATAGTTTAACTTCTTTTAAAATATCATCTTGATTGGTAATTATGTCCCCATTATCTTTCTGAATTTTTGGAATAATTTTAGAAGTAAAGTTTCTGTTTTCAAGATTTAAAAAATACGAAGTTGGTTTCTCCCCTTCCTCCACCCATTTGGCCCTTGACCTAATAATACTGCCCTTTATTTTTTTTGACCGTATTGCTTCAAGTTCTCTTTTTTTAACATCTAATTCTTCCTGGTCAGTGTCTATATTAGCTTCCATAATTTCGATAGATTTCTTTAGGTTTTCTTCTTCAAGGTTCTGTTGTTTCTTTCTATGAGATGCATATGATATTGACTTGCCTCTTATTTCCATTAACAATGTCTCCAAAAACAATTGATCATTAATTAAGAATTGAATTTCTGTATTAGGTAAAAGCGAAACAGAGTTAAGATTATATACAGGTAGGCAATATTGTAATTTTATGTCATCTATACATTTTTTAACCATGTCTAAATAATCTAGTTCAAATAATAATGAGTTATTAAACTTCCAGAGACCTCTTCCTCTTTTAAATTCATTTAATTTTAACGCTATTACTGTAGCCGAATGGTCAGATCTATAACTTGGTTCTATGAAAGATTTTCTTGTACTGGATAATAAACTGTCTGAAGTGAGAAAAAAGTCTAGTCTGGCCTGCTTAATAGGATTTTTTCTTCGCCAAGTGTATCTCTTAATATCTGGATGAAGTTCTCTAAAAATGTCTATAAGATTGTATGTCTCACTGATTTCTAACACCTTCTCCCTAGCAGATGCATTGTTGATGTTTCTATATGAGTTATCATAATCAAGCTCAGGGTTAATCACGAGGTTAAAATCGCCACAGACTATTATATTTTCATTTCCAAAGCTGTCAATAGTTTCCGAAATCTGAGTATAAAAAATTGGATTATCCTGATTAGGCCCATAAATGGTTATAAGTGTCAATCTACTACCCTCAATATCAATATCAATCCCTAAAAAATTTCCATCTAAATCACGTTTTTCTCTATAAACTTTACTTTCAAAATTATTATTGAGTAAGATTGCTACACCACGAGAATTTGATGAGAAAGAACTGAAAAAACTGTGATACCCCCATTCATTTCTAATTAAATTTTCTTGTTCTGTTGAAAAATGAGTGTCTTGTAAACAGTAGATGTGGTATTTCTTGTCTCTTAAGTATGAGAAAACATCCTTCCTCTTAATTTTATCACCAAGACCCTGACAGTTCACCGAGAGTACACAGATATCATCCATAACTGAGAAATTGAATGAATGAGTAAGAGCAGCCTTCCAGCTGGGAAATAGGAAACAAGACAAAGGGAGAAGAAATGGGGATAAGAGGGGGGAAAGGTTGTGATAAAAGCATCTTACAAGGTCAAGAAAGGAGCTACACCACCACTCAACACTTACACACAACCTATTGGCCGTGAAAACTTCGGACAATCAGACAATTTGTGCCGCTATACCGGAAATGACAAACAGGAAGTGTTGATACTAATGCACGGAGAATGAACCGGCCCGCGGAACTGTCCGGAATAGACCGGGGGACCTCCCGAGACCACCCGGACCGGAAGTATATATAAAACAACTACACGTTCACCAATTATATTATAGCATACATGCATTTCTGTAAGTTATATATAATATCCCATATAATACCTGGCTACTCAATATAGGTTATTAGCAAGATATTATGGACTACCACGGACTTAAATACTACTACTACCTACGACATCCTCAAAATATAGCATATACATACCATTTATTTTCGGAGCTTAAAAAATCTTTCTTAAATTACGACAGTTACAAATATATTATTTATAACAAGCTATATGCTCACTTTGAATGACGTTACATGTGTATATCTCATTATCATACTTTAAAATCTAAAGTCACAAAAAATACTACGTAGTTATTCTTACCTTTTACAAATGGAATTTCAGTAATGATATATATCCTTTTCACACAGAAGAATTGATCACACAACACACATATACATGTACACCACAGAAAAAAGCACATTAGTATACAACACAAAGGTGATCGGTTGCCAGACACACTGGCATTAAGTCATTTACCGATCACTGTGCACTGTCCAACTTCTATCTCCTTGATACAAAATTAGCATCGTTCATCAAGTAACTTTCTTCCAAGGGTGTATCGTGTAAAAGTCTGCGCTTCTTGCCATTAGTCAAAATCACATATATTTTCCCGTCTGTGCTATACGAATTTTTGACACAGTTCATACGGAACGCTTCCTTCAGTCTCTGTTGATTTAAGGAAGTAAGGTCTTCATAGATAACAAACTTGGAACCTTTCAGGATCTTGCGGGCGCGGATAATTTCATGCTTCTTTCTCCGGTGCGTGAACTTTACTATCACATTCCTAGGATTTGTACCATTGTACTTTCCCAATCTATGTGCGATGTCAATGTCCCTCTCCTGAAGTGGTAAATTTGTGTTATTTACATGAACAAGAACATCTTAGGTTATTAGCACTAGGTTAGAATAGAACATTAAACTGGGAGCATGATGATAGACATAGAATATTATTCAATATTTTACAAATTAAGATTTAAATTGTGATGCAGGAAAAAGAATGAATTTTGAAAGAATTGTCAACATATTTCTGCTATTCTTTGTCATTTGACACATATTTATGATAGGGTACATACAAGATGGCTAGGAAGCCTTTTAAAACTTTTATTTATGATCTCAACTTTTTTTACAAAAACAGTAACAGAGTTTGCTAAGAAGACTGGAGACTACCGAAGTCTGTCTGCTGTAGATATCAAGGTCATGGCCTTGACCTATCAGCTGGAGAAAGAAGTTGTGGGGTCAAGTCACATCAAGGTCGTACCAGAGAGAAAGGTATAGTATATCTAGTTATATATCTGTCGCATGAAATTGTAGAACACAGAGGAATGAATATCTCGTGATTCAAATAATCTTTTGTCTTGCTGCAATGAATGAGTGGAAGCGATATTAATATATCACTATTTTGTTGACATTCGTATTAGTGCTACATAAAGGAGGTTGTGTTAAGTTTTCTTAAAGATAAGTGTTAGAATTAAAAATCAGTGAAAGTGTTTGGTGTACAACTCAATTTAGGGCTAACATTGAGATTTGGAATACCTTGATCCATTTTTTGGATGAAAAACATGAAATGTTAACAAATTTGGAAAGTATGAAGATTATTTTAAATGACTTGATATTTTGCACACACCTTAGATGAAGGATGGACTTCAACAAATTACACAGTTTAATTTTCACTCATTCAATCAACTTTATTTAGAGGGTTAGGGGATTTTCATATTTTTGAAATTCATTTTCATCAAGAAACAACTTTAGTAAATCTCAGTTCCTTGAATTTATGTTTCTGAAGCAATGATTTTCAGAGTTAAACCACAAACTGCAAGTTAAGGTCAAGGTCATCATGTCAACCTCTGTTTTTTCTCTATTATAACTTATATATATTTTGTTATGGTCAGAGCTGAACAAGAAACTATTTGTCCAAAGGCCAAGGTTAATGGATAAAACCCTTTCTGGACTCGGTCCCCATATATGAACAGTAGTCATGTGCTTGCTATTTGTTCTTCATCCTTGTATAAATTGTTATGTAAGAGGGAGGGTAACTAGTAGACTTTTGCTTATTAATCTAGTTCCCTGTTCAGCAACTAGCGAATTGAATGCTGATAAATTTCACTTTTCTTTCTTTCAGATTGAGTGGAATGCTACCAGGAAAATGTTAGAAAAACCAACAGATATTGCAGGCTTTTACTTAAGTTCAAAGGTAAGATATTTAGAAACTGTTAACTCATAAGACAATGTTTAAATAATCATTTTACATTTTGAATGTCAAGGAAAGGCAACAGAAGATAACAGAGTTTTTAAATATTTTGTTTCAATTGCTTGCAAAGTGTTTTCAAGACTTAAGAATAAATTTCAGTAAAGGTCATGTATTGTTTAGTTTTCAAAGCTTTTGACTTATATGCAATAAACCATGGATACTAATACAAAACCTGTGACTCTAAGTTAATGCTGGGATTATTATATATAACCCCTGACTGTAAATTAAGGCTGGGCTTATCATATATAACCCCAGACTGTAAATTAAGGCTGGACTTATTATATATAACCCCAGACTGTAAATTAAGGCTGGACTTATTATATATAACCCCAGACTGTAAATTAAGGCTGGACTTATTATATATAACCCCAGACTGTAAATTAATGCTGGGTTTATTATATATAACCCCTGACTGTAAATTAAGGCTGGGTTTATTATATATAATCCCTGACTGTAAATTAAGGCTGGGTTTATTATATATAATCCCTGACTGTAAATTAATGCTGGGTTTATTATATATAATCCCTGACTGTAAATTAATGCTGGGTTTATTATATATAATCCCTGACTGTAAATTAAGGCTGGGTTTATTATATATAATCCCTGACTGTAAATTAAGGCTGGGTTTATTATATATAATCCCTGACTGTAAATTAAGGCTGGGTTTATTATATATAATCCCTGACTGTAAATTAAGGCTGGGCTTATCATATATAACCCCAGACTGTAAATTAAGGCTGGACTTATTATATATAACCCCTTACTGTAAATTAATGCTGGGTTTATTATATTTAACCCCAGACTGTAAATTAAGGCTGGGCTTATCATATATAACCCCTGACTGTAAATTAAGGCTGGGCTTATCATATATAACCCCTGACTGTAAATTAATGCTGGGTTTATTATATTTAACCCCAGACTGTAAATTAAGGCTGGGCTTATCATATATAACCCCTGACTGTAAATTAAGGCTGGGCTTATCATATATAACCCCTGACTGTAAATTAATGCTGGGTTTATTATATTTAACCCCAGACTGTAAATTAAGGCTGAGCTTATCATATATAACCCCTGACTGTAAATTAAGGCTGGGTTTATTATATATAACCCCTGACTGTAAATTAAGGCTGGGTTTATTATATATAACCCCAGACTGTAAATTAAGGCTGGGCTTATCATATATAACCCCTGACTGTAAATTAAGGCTGGGTTTATTATATATAACCCCTGACTGTAAATTAAGGCTGGGCTTATCATATATAACCCCTGACTGTAAATTAAGGCTGGGTTTATTATATATAATCCCTGACTGTAAATTAAGGCTGGGCTTATCATATATAACCCCTGACTGTAAATTAAGGCTGGACTTATTATATATAACCCCTTACTGTAAATTAATGCTGGGTTTATTATATTTAACCCCAGACTGTAAATTAAGGCTGGGCTTATCATATATAACCCCTGACTGTAAATTAATGCTGGGTTTATTATATTTAACCCCAGACTGTAAATTAAGGCTGGGCTTATCATATATAACCCCTGACTGTAAATTAAGGCTGGGCTTATCATATATAACCCCTGACTGTAAATTAATGCTGGGTTTATTATATTTAACCCCAGACTGTAAATTAAGGCTGGGCTTATCATATATAACCCCTGACTGTAAATTAAGGCTGGGCTTATCATATATAACCCCTGACTGTAAATTAATGCTGGGTTTATTATATTTAACCCCAGACTGTAAATTAAGGCTGAGCTTATCATATATAACCCCTGACTGTAAATTAAGGCTGGGTTTATTATATATAACCCCTGACTGTAAATTAAGGCTGGGTTTATTATATATAACCCCAGACTGTAAATTAAGGCTGGGCTTATCATATATAACCCCTGACTGTAAATTAAGGCTGGGTTTATTATATATAACCCCTGACTGTAAATTAAGGCTGGGCTTATCATATATAACCCCTGACTGTAAATTAAGGCTGGGTTTATTATATATAACCCCTGACTGTAAATTAAGGCTGGGCTTATCATATATAACCCCTGACTGTAAATTAAGGCTGGGTTTATTATATATAACCCCTGACTGTAAATTAAGGCTGGGTTTATTATATATAACCCCTGACTGTAAATTAAGGCTGGGCTTATCATATATAACCCCTGACTGTAAATTAAGGCTGGGTTTATTATATATAACCCCTGACTGTAAATTAAGGCTGGGTTTATTATATATAACCCCAGACTGTAAATTAAGGCTGGGCTTATCATATATAACCCCTGACTGTAAATTAAGGCTGGGTTTATTATATATAACCCCTGACTGTAAATTAAGGCTGGGCTTATCATATATAACCCCTGACTGTAAATTAAGGCTGGGTTTATTATATATAACCCCTGACTGTAAATTAAGGCTGGGCTTATCATATATAACCCCTGACTGTAAATTAAGGCTGGGTTTATTATATATAACCCCTGACTGTAAATTAAGGCTGGGTTTATTATATATAACCCCTGACTGTAAATTAAGGCTGGGCTTATCATATATAACCCCTGATTCTAAGTTAAGACTGGGCTTATTATGGAGGAATTAATTAGCATTTTGTGATGAGGCAGTATGCAGCTCAATAGATATGAAAAGGTTTGCTATTAGGTTTTGGCTTACTTTACAAAGGTTTTGCTTATATCATAGATATTATAAGTACAATCAAATATAAAACCTGGATACAAGAAATAGGATGTAACATGTTTACTTCATATACAAATTGGTTTTTTACTTGATTCTAGTATTTTTTTTTATAATGTGAATTTCCTCTTATTTAAGAGCAGGAGATAGTTCTACTGGTTACGCTTTAAAGCCTTTATGTAAAACATTGTTTGGTCATCCTACAAGTTTATTGTAGTTACAGGAGGGTATACATTGTAATTAAAATTACATTCATAGGCAAACAAATCAAGGACAACCTCAGAGTGTACATCAGATATGACAGAATCCAGAGGAGACGAAGCACATGATACACAAGAAGTGATTACATCATCAGAAGGTGTTGACATCAATTGTGAAACTATAGAAACAGTGGAGAAAGATGACAGAATAAATACAGACAACAGTTGTCAGCCTGACACAATACCGTACACAGAAAACGAGGATAGTGTAAATGGTGGTAGTTGTAGACTTTTAAGTGAAGGGGATACCCTTTCTGCAGATATTCTTGAAGAAGAAAGTGACGAAGATGATGATGAAGATGAGGATGATGATGATGACGATGATGGATGGATCACACCCAGCAATATAAAGGCTGTAAAGGAGAGGATGGGAGATGTAAATACAGAAAGAGCTGATGTGGCTGTTGGCTGTCTTACTACTGATTTTGCTATACAGGTAACTTAAATAAAGTTCATCAGTTAACCAAAAATAAAATACCAGACTGAGATGATATAAGCTTGGTTCAGGAAGATAACATCAAAACCATAAAGGAACCTATGTAAAAAAGCTTGGTTGTCATGGTAACAATATGCAGAGTCTGTTTTCATTGTAATGATTTTAAAATTTAAGGCTAAATGCATACTACAAAATGAAATATATTTTTGAAATTTTTTTTGTACCAATTAAAAGTAAAATAAACATTGGGACTTTGCCAAAAAATGGTATCAGTGTAGCAAAGCTAAATATTGTAGTTTACTTGTAAATCGATACAATTTTAAAGTACCATATTTTCTGGATCATAAGCCTCGTGAGTCGGGGTTTTGGTTGATATTAGGATGGAAAAAAATCTGGAGGATGGGGGGAAAAAAAATAGGAAGTGTTCCAGTACACTAGTACAAGAAGGTAATGAGGTTTTTTACAAGCACCTGCCTGTCACTTGTTTGTGACTGAAACAGATCGTCTAAAACTGTCCTTTGCAATCATATACAGGATGATTTGAAGATTGAAATTAAGTTAACATTCTCGTGGATTTTATTAATCATACCTTTTAATGCAAATCACAATAACATCTTCTGGACTTTCGTGGTGACTTGGAAGCCATAGCAGAACTTTACAATAGGATTGATAGGTCATCAAGTTACAGATCAAATTCTAGAACTACCGCCATGCTTGTTTACAATATAAATGGCTTTGTATAACTTACAAGAAAAAATTATATGGAACTGAAAGAATTTGGTCAGCATGCAAGGGCATTCATTAATATTTAACAGTAAAGACACTGAAGGAGTGATTGTTAATCTAAGTGTACATAACATCAGGCCCTATGTCAATCTGTGAAGGCACTCAAGCCAAACAAGATTGATATTTGCTATTTTACAATTTTTGAAATACGTCAATAGAGTAAAGGATTATCTGTGTAAAACTCATTTGCAAACTTTATTAAATGTTTCACTGATGGTCTTGATAAATTGCCAAAAAAACTTTGGTCAAAGTAACGGTTACTACTTAGTAAGAAAGGGTGCAGCTTATATTCCAGTGCAGCTTATACGAGATCAAATAAAAAAATGCCAGAAAATATGGTATATCAAATACTCTATCTTTGTTTGGGTTGTTACACCTAGCAAAGTAATATCAGCAGAAATCACCTATTCCTATACAAAAGTCCTTCAATATTGGGATTACAAATTTAGAATTTCACTAATTGGGAGGGAAGGGGATGTTGTTTGTACTGTCATTCTGAGGTTATGGGGAACTAGTAATCCTTCTATCAAATCATTCTATAAACAAATCTTGTTACCACTCTTTCTCAAGACTTGCTTCCATCAGACACAGTGTGGGCTTGGTTGGATCTTCTTGAAAATATAAAGAGTTGTGTTTAGTATGCATTATAATGTTTACGTCACAAGATGGCCTCTGTCTTCCATTTTGACAGTTGAAGTTTGAAATTGTTATCTATCAAGAACTGGAGACTTTTAGTCCTAAAGAGTTGCCATTGTTCCCTTCACATTTTTTAATCTTCTATTGAATGATTAAGATGACTGTTAATTTTTATTGCAATTTCACATGTTATGTTTCTTTGTTCTGTGCTATGTTAATCCCTCGATCAAATCCACCATTTCTCATTGTAGAATGTACTGATACAGATGGGCCTGAATGTGATATCTGTGGATGGGATGTTGATCAGAAAAGCCAAGAGCTATGTCCTCCGCTGCTTTGCCTGTTTAAGGTGTGTTGATTCATTACCTCTGTTGTACTATAAATGAGCTGAGGCTGTAATTAACAGTTTAAATGTGTTTGCTGTGTGTCTTGGACTGGTTGATGCTGTGAGATAAATACACTATGTAAACTTTATAAAACTATATAATTTTGATTTTCAGGATCACCAGCAATATTTTAAAAGAGTTCTGTCCTTCATGTGGTAACAACACACTACAGAAAGTCTCTATGACAGTGGAGGAGGATGGTACTATTCGCTACTTCCTGTCTAGACGTAAACCGATTAGCACTCGGGGCACAAAGGTTAGTCATTACAAAGAGAATCACAGGGAATACAGTCATTAACTTAACAGGGAAGTAGAGTACACTTGAAAAGCGTAACAGTAATATAAGTATTAAACAGAAGTGAGTCATTACATGAAATAGAACTTGGGCACAAGGTAAAGGTAAGCTAATGCAAAGGAAAGAACTGGAGGTTATAAAGAAGAGTTCTTAGTAATTACAGCTTCGGGAGGGGGAGTAGGGTAATACAAGGGAGAGAACTAGAAGTTTTTGGTCTAGCAATGGTCAGTCATGAAATGAAATATATATTTGGTAGGTTGAAGGCAATGATAATGGTGGAACAAAGGTCTACTCTTACAGGAGGTTAATGCCTTTTTTAATGTGAATTTTTTTATGTTTATCTGTTGTTAATTGGCTATAAAACAATATTGAAATATCAAAAACATGAACAAAAATTTCAAGGTGAAAATTGTTTTGTAAAATGACAATAAATTCTTCAATTTGTTCTTTTCCAGTTTTCTTTACCATTACCGAAGGGAGGTAAACATGCTGTGAACCCCATACTGGCAGAGGATACACCTGTTCCCCAACAAAGAGCTACACGCAAGTCAAAACAGAAATTGGACGCTTTAAACCCTGATTTTATTACTGGTGGCTCTCCCTTCAGTGTCAATGACATCACAAGCCGTGCCTCACAGCTAGGGATCAGACAAGGGCGTTCTTCTAATGCATTCAACAAAAGAAACCCAAATGCAGTGCGCAAAAATTATGGAAAAAGGAAATAATTTATCTTTCTGTAAATGGTAATAAAAGTTTTCAATATGAAAGAAAATTTTGCTTTTTTATGATTCCTACCTACATTGTAGTTGCTGTTACAGTTATTTGCCTAATTTCATCAGATCAACCTTACACACGTATTGGCTATTATCATAACATGAGGAAATTGTGAAAAAAATGCTAGAATGCTGATATTTCATTCCTTTTAATCAGATAAAACTAGTCCACATATATTTGAACTCACCAGTTCAAAGGGCACTTGTTTTGAATAACTTAATAGACCTCGAGTTTTGTACTTGCATTTCAACATGCTGCAAAGAAGAGATGGTCAGTTTGAAATGAACTTTAAAGTTTTAAGGATAAGTCTTCCATTATTAAATATCTTCTCTTTGTAAAATGCAGAACAGGGAGTGTGTATAGGCCTGAAGTTTGAAATGAAAGTAATCAAAAAAATGTTTACAAAAAACTTATAACATGGAACATCATCTAGATATATATATAAATATGGTAAGTACTGTACACAATAAAATTGATCTTAAATACCCTTTTACAATTGAATTTTTAAAATCTCTCAACCTTGATTTTAATGGCTACAACCAGATATTTCATCAGTGCATGTTTAAGGTGCTGGCATTGACTGTGAATCCCACAATAGACAACCTGTCGTCATACTATTATACCCCTTGAGATGCATTTGCTGGGAATATGAAATTGAGCATCATGCTTCTTCTTGTCTTTATTTGTCTGAGGGGCTTTCCCAGGCTAAATCTTGAAATCTGTTCGACTAATATTGGAAAAACGCTATACATAGACCTACTTGTGCTGTTTGCTATTGGCAATATTTCATTTTTACTTTTAACATTTCCTTATTACCATGGAAACAGTCTTGTCTGCTACAACTTGAAAAATCATTCAATGGATGTCCATGAAACTTCGTATATTGTTTATAGTGCCTTATCTGTACTTCTTGCTATTCAGGGGATTTCATTGTTGTATTTTTGCAGTAAACATGGAAACATATTGTCAGAAAAACAAAATTTACAGTTAGCAAGCTTTTCTAGGTTAAGCTGTGAAAATGGTACCACTGATAGCTACACACATTAAACATCAATAGTGAAAGCTGCAGAGATTCTACATAGAAACATTAACTCTTTGTCTTGAATGTAGACATTTATATGTTCACACCAAATTTTGAAAAACATTTGCATTAAGACGTTTTCTAGTAGAGATAACAATATGAGTAAATTTCAAGTCATTTCTTCCACAAAACGTAAAATAATTGAAGAAAAAACATTTTGGAAAATTTGTAGCCTGCTTTAATCAAAACTATACTGTAATTCTATGTTAGCCATATAAGGTATTGATGGATACTATCTGTTTCATCACCATGACATTCTGAACTTGAAATGGCCACATGGATAGATACCACCTGCCTCAATAAGACTAGAACTTTATTATTAAATTGTGGACACATTCAAACATACTGATACTTTGAATTTACTTGCAGAAACAAGGGCATACCAATATGTCAACAAAAATCATAAAACCTGGTTCTCCTGAAGGAATATTGTTTGATGCTTCGTAGTTGACATCCATGATGCAAATTTTGGGGAAAAAAATGAAAAACTACCAAGTATAATAATAAGCTTTTAAAACATGGAACAATGCAATACAATATTTCTCAATGTGTTCCTGGTTGTAAAACTTCCCCCTTATCCATAATTGGCCTTCATCTCTTTAAATGATGTGTTGTAAAGATTTATTTAGCAGCGGTATAACCTAATGTATGATGCACATGCATTGGGAATTAATTTCTTGGATACCATTGGATATCATTTGTAATGAGTAAGCACTATATTTTGGGAAACCAAGGCTCTTGCCGTCTAGAAATTGGAAAATCACTCTTTTCGATTGAAGTCATGTCTTTGATCTAAGATTGGGTACGGTTTTGTACACTGGATATTTCCAATGTTCTAGCAGAAAATACATTCTTTCAAAAGGAGATGTTAGCCCTTTGGAATTCTTCAAAATGGACATAGTGTATATTCCTTTTAAGGATTCTTGTGAAACTAATCCGATATAAAAGAGGAAGGTCATTATTAACCAGTATTTTGTCATTGGAAGGATCGGATGTGTGTAGTTTGCATTTTTTGTAATCAAATAAGCTGGGTAAATTTTGTAAAAACAAAATGGATAGATCAGTATCAAATAATTAGATGCTTTTGCTGCAGATACAATTATTTACTTCACAGTCGTGCAAATATTTGGACTTGACATCAGGATTAAGAATCAGGATAAGATTTTAAACAGCAAATTCTTTCTGTAATGATGGACCAAAAAATTTAATCCATATTATCAAAAGCAGCATTTTATCCATGCTCCTGCATCTCGTACAAAATAATACCTTGTTAAGACATCATTAGTCACATCATACTTTTCTGAACTAGATCTAGCATTATCTCTCATCATCTCTACCTGAATCAGAGACATAATGTCCCTCCAGAAGTCCAAATTTCAGAATTCACTGTGGATACATATATTTGATATACTTGTCCTTTCTTGTTAAATTAAACCACAATAGGTGGGTGTTATTCAACTCCAGAGACTTCAACATATCATTATAACTGTTATGTAACTACATTTGAATTAAACTCTAAAAGAATTGTGATAGACACTGACCAGGACTACTTTTTTTTAATCTCATTTTTGTGCTTGTCAACATCTTCATGCCGAAGACTCATGCAGACATTTGAGAATTGACAAACATTTGAGCATTCAGTTCTGTGTGGAAGACAGATTTATGGCAACACTTTTAACATTAACATCAGCAACATGTCAGCATTGCTTCTTTTGTATCCAAAAGAACACCCGAGGGGTATTTGCTCTAGTGACAATGAATGACTTGTGAACTGAATTAATGGACAATCTGGTAGATCATTTCATACATTTTTGAAATTAAAATGGCCAAAAATTAGCTGGCGTCTTTTTTTGTAATGATTTGAATTGTATCTGCATTTCTATCAATTTATTGCTTTGGAGATAACAAACCCATTGACGTTCTGTTATGATTTGTGATATGTTATAATATTTCCACACACTTCTTAAACTGTTTTGTTTATTATTAATTGATGTCATTTCACTACAGGTCAAATATATGGCCTAATTCTCCACTCAGCAAAAGACAAAAATAAAAGTTTTCCTTTATTACCTTTTTTTATTGATAACATTTTTTTTTACATGAACATTTTTTTGATGCATAAAATATTTTTCTGTCAAATACAAACAAAGTGATGATAAACATCAGTTATCACGTCAGTCTTGACACAGGTCCTTACTTACACCATACACAGGATATACACACTCAGTAATGCACAGATAAGTTAAATAGCAAGTTTAATATACACAATTTCACATGATGGAGATTTTTTTTGTCCTTTTTGTGTAATCATAATGCATTTTTTTGTATACAGTATATATATATATATATACAGTTTTAATATAGCATTCTTTCCTCCTCTATGAAAACAGGCTTTCTACCGATATAATTATGTTTAAATTGTAGGTTTGCAATTAGGGATTTTACATCCATGAAAAATGACTTATATACATATAGATGTCAATCTTAAAACCAATTAATTTTACTGAAAGTAATAACATATTCATCTGTTCATTCTTTTTTATATTAAGGTCAATATGATCAAACAACGTATTTAAAATCAGTCAAAAGAATCAAATTAAATATCTAAAAACTTTTTTTTAATTTCTTTTTTTAAAAGTTTTTACAAAATAATCTCCAATCTAATGGATTTTCTGATATTTAATCTTTGAAACAATAATCAAATGCATGAATATTTAAGAAAAAAATTTAAAAACCTCTTAAAACAGCATTTATCTAGATTTTTTCCTTCTAAAGTAATAGTAAAAAGAAAGAAAGCAAATCTCAATAATTACACATTTAGTATGTCTGTGTGTCCTCATCTTCATTGATTATTTGTACTTGTAAACATATATATTTGTATACTACAATATCTCACTAATGTGTATTTTTTGTGTGCACATCTGGATACTATAATAGTGATTATGTCTATGAAAAATCAATATTTAAATTATCTACACAATGTACATTTACCCAGAATTCACTACTAATCCAATCATATCAATCAAAGCCCTGTAACACTTCAAAGCTCTCCCTATCAAAGCTTATTTCTGTATGTGTATTTTCACTTAACCTCTAGCAGTGAAGATTGCCCCTTTCCCCCTCAGAAATGGTCATAACATTTCAAAAGAAATATTCAAAGTTTGGAATTATCATTTTTACTATTACTTTAGTGTAAAAGGCACTTTTAGAAAGTGTGTTTAAGCAAGATGTGGAGAATTGTGAAAAAATTCCATGTCTACATATGACAACCAAATAAGAGATCGATCAGTATGCATGCTGAAAACCATCCTTATATGATACAACAAGACAAACTTTATGTTAAGAAACGTGTCCACTATAAATAAGGAAAGCCAAGTTAAAGAACCCCATCTTATGGCTATGGAATCAGGTGTAGCAAAACGTTTATATACACAGCACTATTACATCATATGGCATTTCTTATGTTCAATAAAAATATGACAAATGAAAGAGAATCACAAAAGGAAATAAAATGTAGCATCATTTATCATTTAAGTCATCTAAACATTTTTGATTAAAAATAAAGCTGAAGAGAAACAAAACATGCTTGTAAAGTTGTTGGGGCAAAATACCTGTATATCTTGACATTTCAGGTATGTCTACAATTTTTTTATTATGATTAAATTTTGAAGCTTTGAAGTGGGATGGCCACAAAAAAAGATATTTTGAATGGGAACATTTTCACTCATAATTCATTAAATGTTTCAATAATCGGTGAATAATTCAAACTTTAACACATGTAAAAGGAGAGGAAGGGTAGAATCACACTAATCAACCACTAGGTAAATTTATCCTTACAGCCACTTACATAGCAACATAGTCTCTCACTCTCAATGTCCAATAAAAC